TGCGAATAATCGCACCAACTGTTGTCACCTTCTCACCAAGCTGCTTGGCGATGGTCTTGTAGCCCATTCCAGCCTTGTGTAGGTCTACAATCTTGTCCCTGACATCCTTGGAGAGCTCTTTGGTCTTGGCCATGGTGGTGAGTTTGGAATCTGATTGATTGATTGCTTCTGTGGACAGGTGTCTTTTATACAGGTAACAAACTGAGATTAAGAGCACTCCCTTTAAGATTGTGTTCCTAATCTCAGCTCGTTACCTGTATAAAAGACACCTGGGAACCAGAAATCTTTCTGATTGAGAGGGGTCAAATACTTATTTCCCTCATTAAAATGCAAATCAATTCATAACATTTTTTACATGCGTTTTTCTGGATTTTTTTGTTATTCTGTCTCACTGTTCAAATAAACCTACCATTAAAATTATAGGCTGATCATTTCTTTGACAGTGGGCAAACGTACAAAATCAGCAGGGGATCAATTACTTTTTTCCCCTCACTGTATATACACTTAGGTTGGAGTCATTAAAACTCATTTTTCAACCACTCCACAATTTTTTTTTCCACTAACTAGTTTTGGCAAGTTGGTTAGGACATTAATTTGTGCATGACAAGTAATTGTTCCAACAATTGTTTTGACAGACTATTTCACTGTATCACAATTCCAGTGGGTCAGAAGTTTACATACACTAAGTTGACTGTGCCTTTAAACAGCTTGGAAAATTCCAGAAAATGATTTCATGGCTTTAGAAGCTTCTAATAGGCTAACTGACATCATTTGAGTCAATTGGAGGTGTACCGGTGGATGTATTTCAAGGCCTACCTTCAAACTCAGTGCCCCTTTGCTTGACATCATAGGAAAATCAAAAGAAATCAGCTAAGACCTCAGAAAAAGAAATCATCATTGGGAGCAATTTCCAAATGCCTGAAGGTACCACGTTCATCTGTACAAACAATAGTACGCAAGTATAAACACCATGGGACCACGCAGCCTTCATACCGCTCAGGTAGGAGACGTGTTCTGTCTCCTAGAGATGAACGTACTTTGGTGCGAAAAGTGCAAATCAATCCCAGAACAACAGCAAAGGACCTTGTCAAGACGCTGGAGGAAACAGGTACAAAAGTATCTATATCCACAGTAAAACAAGTCCTATATCGACATAACCTGAGAGGCCGCTCAGCAAGGAAGAAGCCACTGTTCCAAAACCACCATAAAAAAGACAGACTACGGTTTGCAACTGCACATGGGGACAAAGATTGTTCTTTTTGGAGAAATGTCCTCTGGTCTGATGAAACAAAAAGAGAACTGTTTGGCCATAATGACCATCGTGAAGCACGGAGGTGGCAGCATCATGCTGTGGGGGTGCTTTGCTACAGGAGGGACTGGTGCACGTCACAAAATAGATGGCATCATGAGGAAGGAAAATTATGTGGATATATTGAAGCAACATCTCAAGACATCAGTCAGGAAGTTAAAGCTTGGTCGCAAATGGGTCTTCCAAATGGACAATGACCCCAAGCATACTTCCAAAGTTGTGGCAAAATGGCTTACGGACAACCAAGTCAAGGTATTGGAGTGGCCATCACAAAGCCTTGACCTCAATCCTATAGAACATTTGTGGGCAGAACTGAAAAAGCGTATGCGAGCAAGGAGGCCTACAAACCTGACTCAGTTACACCAGCTCTGTCAGAAGGAATGGGCCAATATTCACCAAACTTATTGTGGGAAGCTTGTGGAAGGCTACCTGAAACGTTTGACCCAAGTTAAACAATTTAAAGGCAATGCTACCAAATACTAATTGAGTGTATGTAAACTTCTGACCCACTGGGAATGTGATGAAATAACTAAAAGCTGAAATAAATCATGCTCTCTACTATTATTCTGACATTTCACATTCTTAAAATAAAAGTGGTGATCCTAACTGACCTAAGACAGGGAATTTTTACTAGGATTAAATGTCAGGAATTGTGAAAAACTGAGTTTAAATGTATTTGGCTAAGGTGTATGTAAACCTCAGACTTCAACTGTGAATATACATACACATACACACTTTGATTCGGAAAGTATTCAGTCCCCTTCACTTATTCCACGTTTTGTTACAGCCTTATTCTAAAATGTATTAAATAAATGTTCTCTCAATCTACACACAATACCCCATAATGACAAAGCGAAAACAGGTTTTTAGAATTTTTTGCAAATGTATTTTTTTTTTAAATACAGAAATGCCTTATTTACATAAGTTTTCAGACCCTTTGCTATGAGACTCGAAATTGAGCTCCTGTTTCCATTGATCATCCTTGAGATGTTGCTACAACTTGATTGGAGTCCACCTGTGGTAAATTCAATTGATTGGGAAGGCACACACACCTGTCTATATAAAATGTCCCACAGTTGACAGTGTATGTCAGAGCAAAAACCAAGCCATGAGGTCGAAGGAATGGTCCATAGAGCTCTGGGACAGGATTGTGTTGAGACACAGATCTGGGAAAGGGTACAAAAAAAATTCTGCAGCATTGAAGGTCCCCAAGAACAGTGGCCTCCATTCTTAAATGGAAGAAGTTTGGAACCACCAAAACTCTTCCTCGAGCTGGCCGCCCGGCCAAACTGAGCAATCGGGGGAGAAGGGCCTTGGTCACTCTGACAGAGCTCCAGAGTTCCTCTGTGGAGATGGGAGAAACTTCCAGAAGGACAACCATCTCTGCAGCACTCCACCAATCAGAACTTTATGGTATAGTGGCCAAACAGAAGCCACTCCTCAGTAAAAGGCACGAGAGACCACTTGGAGTTTGCCAAAAGGCACCTAAAGGACTCTCAGACCATTAGAAACAAGATTATCTGGTCTGATGAAACCAAGATTGAAGTCTTTGGCCTAAATGCCAAGTGTCACATCTGGAGGAAACCAGGCCTCGCTCATCACCTGGTCAATACCATCCCTACGGTGAAGCATGGTGGTGACAGCATCATGCTGTGGGGATGTTTATCAGCTGCAGGGACTGAGACTAGTCAGTATCGAGGGAAAGATGAACGGAGCAAAGTACAGAGATCCTTGATGAAAACCTGCTCCAGAGCGCTCAGGACCTCAGACTGGGGCGAAGGTTCACCTTCCAACAGGACAACGACCCTAAGCACACAGCCAGGACAACGCAGGAGTGGCTTCGGGTCAAGTCTCTGAATGTCCTTGAGTGGCCCAGCCAGAGCCCAGACTTGAACCCGATCTAACATCTCTGGAGAGATCTGAAAATAGCTGTGCAGCAACGCTCCCCATCCAATCTGACAGAGCTTGAGAGGATCTGCAGAGAAGAATGGGAGAAACTCCCCAAATACAGGTGTGCCAAGCTTGTAGCGTCATACCCAAGAAGACTCAAGGCTGTAATCGCTGACAAAAGGTGCTTCAACAAAGTATTGAGTAAAGGGTCTGAATACTTATGTAAATGAGATATTTCAGTTTATAAATTTGCAAAAATTTATAAAAATCTGTTTTTACTTTGTCATTGCGGGGTATTGATGAGGATAAAAAAAAATCAATTTGAAAGTAAGGCTGTAACGTAACAAAATGTGGACAAAGTCAATGGGTCTGAATACTTTCCAAATGCACTGTAACACACACAGAACAAAAATATAAACACAACATGTAAAGTGTTGGTCCCATGTTTCATGAGCTGAAATAAAAGATCCCAGAAATGTCCCATATGCACAAAAAGCTTATTTCTAAACTTTTGTGCACAAATTTGTTTACATCCCTGTAAGTGAACATTTCTCCTTTGCCAAGATGATCCATCCACCTGACAGGTGTGGCGTATTTTGAAGCTGATTAAACAGCATGATCATTACACAGGTGCACCTTGTGCTAGGGACAAAAGGCTACTAAAATGTGCAGTTGTCAGACAACACAATGCCACAGATGTCTCAAGTTGAGGGAGCGTGCAATTGGTATGCTGACTGCAGGACGGTCCATCAGAGCTGTTGCCAGATAATTGAATATTCATTTCTCTACCACAAGCCGCCTCCAATGTCATTTTAGAGAATTTGGCAGTACGGCCAACCTGCCTCACAACCGCAGACCATGTGTATGGTGTCGTGTGGGCGAGCGTTTTGCTTATGTCAACAGAGTGCCCTATGGTGGCGGTGGGGTTATGGTATGAGCAGGTATAAGCTATGGACAACGAACACAATTGCATTTGAAAATCGATGGCAATTTGAATGCACAGAGATACCGTTACGAGATCCTAAGGACCATTGTCGTGCCATTCATCCGCTGCCATCACCTCATGTTTCAGCATGATAATGCACGGCCACGTCGCAAGGTTCTCTACACAATTCCTGGAAGCTGAAGATGTCCCAGTTCTTACATGGCCTGCATACTCACCAGACATGTCACCCATTGAACATGTTTGGGATGCTCCGGATCGACAGCGTGTTCCAGTTCTCACCAATACCCAGCAACTTCGCACAGCCATTGTAGAGTGGGACAACATTCCACCGGCCACAATCAACAGCCTGATGTGCTGCATGAGGCAAATAGTGTCCATGTAGCCCATTGTAATCGGCTACTCCTATTGATAAGTCATAGAGAACAGTTCTTTGGGGAAAGTAGAGTAGATAGTATTGGGGGGAGGGGTTAAATAAAGGTTCAATACAAAAATTTGCTAATTGGGTCAAATGGTTGGGCAGTTTACCGGAACCTTGGGGGTGCATCTCCATAATCTGAAGCAGATTCCTCTCCTTCCCCCCTTAGGATATTTCCCTATCCACATAGTCTGCGATTGATATTTATTAATGTCATGTTACAGAAATCCTTCACTATTTGGTGAATCGATTTATTGACCAATTCAAGTGTTATATTTTCACTAGGCAAAGGTCTTATTTCATAAAATACATTTAGTAGGGATATGAACCAACTTCACAGATTTGCAAACATGTTTTCAATTTTTATTGGGCATTCAACAGAGCATCTTCACTGTAGCAGCAATCAAAGCTCCCATCACAACAATCGCCACACTCACCACTGCCACATACTGCCCACTGCCTTGACCTCTGTGGGGGGCCTCCCTTCGAGTGCGTTTGACAGGTAGCAGAGGTGAGAGGGCAAAGGTTGGATTGACAGGGTGTTCAATAGAGACAATGCCGGTGTCGATGGCAGGGTAGCGGCACTGGACGGTCAGCCTGAAATAAAACAATTTTTGTAATAGAAATTAACATTTGAATAGTGTGAAAAGCGGTGTGTGTGTTTACCTATAAGGGGAGTCTCTGTGGATGAGGGGGTCATCCGTGGGGAGAAGTTCTTGGGGGTACAGCACCTGGTTCTCATATACTAGGAAATTCCCCTCAACCTAGGTGAGGTAGAACATGTATGATTGAGTTAACACGTAACATGTAACATGATGAATCAACGTGCTAACACACTCACGGTCACAATGGTACCACAGGAATCCAGGGAGAAATTGAATAGGGCCCTGACGCTGTCCGTCTCTTGGGGGACACAGTTGGGGTCCAATAGGGTGGTGCGTTTTGGTTGGGTGGGTGGGATCGTACCTGACATATCAGTCACTATTACCATCCTCCCCTCTGGTAAGCACACTGGAAGTCAAGAGATATCTAGGATAAGTTTGAACATTGTTTGAATGAGGACACGTCGGTCAAGCCTTTCAATAGTACACCACAAGTGTGTGTTACCCAGTAGCTCTCTGACAGGGAAGCTGCAGCGCTGGATGAGGCTGTCCTCCACCTCGAGTGTGTCTGTGTCCACCACACTGACCTCCAGCCGGCCAACAATACCCTGCAAACTCAGTTCCTAAAGCGGGAGGAGCCAGAGAGGAAGGGGAGGTTTTGATAATGAAAGCATCCAATACGTCGACTCACATCTGTACATAGATATATATATTTTTTTAAATCACTATACCTGGCTCTCAAATTACTCTAAAGGCCTATATTCCCAGTGAACTAATCCTTAATTCACAAATGAATCCTAAATTGATGAAAAGCGGATCATCTGTTGTACTGGGGCTTTAATGATATTGAGATTAGGACTTGTGTCAAAAGATAGTGGTACGGCATCCCTGGAGCAAATTAGGGATAAGTGCCTTGTTCAAGGGCACAGACAGATGTTTCACCTTGTTCAGCTCGGGTATTCAAACCAGCAACCTTTCGGTTACTGGCCCAACACTAACCGCTAGGCTACCTGCCGCCCTAGATATACAGAGCATTCGGAAAGTATTCAGACTGACTTTTTCCACATTGTTACGTTACAGCGTTATTCTAAAATTGATTAAATTATTTATTTTCTCTTCATCAATCTACACAATGACGAAGCAAAAACAGGTTTTTAGACATGAGAAAATGTATAAAAAAAACTGAAATATATTTACATAAGTATTCAGACCCTTTACTCAGTACTTTGTTCAAGTCTTCTTGGGTATGATGTTACAAGTTTGGCACACCTGTATTTGGGGAGTTTCTCCCATTTCTCTCTGCAGATCCTCTCAAGCTCCTTCAGGTTGGATGGGGAGCATCGCTGCACAGCTATTGTCAGGCCTTTCCAGAGATGTTCGAGCGAGTTCAAGTCTGGGCTCTGGCTGGGCCACTCAAGGGCATTCAGACACTAGTCCCGAAGCCACTCCTGCGTTGTCTTGGCTGTGTGCTTAGGGTCATTGTCCTGTTGGAAGGTGAACCTTCGCCCCAGTCGGAGGTTCTGAGCGCTCTGGTGCAGGTTTTCATCAAGGATCTCTATGTACTTTGCTCCATTCATCTTTCCCTCGATCCTGACTAGTTTCCCAGTCCCTGCCGCTGAAAAACATCCCCACAGCATGATGCTGCCACCACGCTTCACCGTAGGGATGGTGCCAGGTTTCTTCCAGAAGTGACGCTTGGCATTCAGGCCAAAGACTTCAATCTTGGTTTCATCAAACCAGAGAATCTTGTTTCTCATGGTCTGAGAGTCCTTTAGGTGCCTTTTGGCAAACTCCAAGCGGGCTGTCATGTGCCTTTTACTGAGGAATGGCTTCCGTCTGGCCACTAACACAAAGGCCTGATTGGTGGAGTGCTGCAGAGATGGTTGTGCTTCTGGAAGATTCTCCCATCTCCACAGAGGAACTCTGGAGCTCTGTCAGAGTGACCATTGGGTTCTTGGTCACCTCCCTGACCAAGGCCCTTCTCCCCTGATTGCTCAGTTTGGCCGGGCGGCCAGCTCTAGGAAGAGTCTTGGCGGTTCCAAACTTCTTCCATTTAAGAATGATGGAGGCCACTGTGTTCTTGGTGACCTTCAATGCTGCATAAATGTTTTGGTACCCTTCCCCAGATCTGTGCCTCGACACAATCCTGTCTCTGAGCTCTACGGACAATTCCTTCGACCTCATGGCTTGATTTTTGCTCTGACATGCACTGTCAACTGTGAGACCTTATATAGACAGGTGTGTGACTTTCCAAATCATGTCAAATCAATTGAATTTACCACAGGTGGACTCCAATCAATTTGTAGAAACATCAAGGATGATCAATGGAAACAAGATGCACCAGAGTTCAATTTCGAGTCTCATACCAAATGGTCTGAATACTTATGTAAATAAAGTGTATTTTTAATTTTTAATACATTTGCTAGAATTTCTAAAAACCAATTTTCACTGTCATTATGGGGTTGTGTGTAGATTGAGGACTTTAAAAAAAATCAATTTTTGACTAAGGCTGTAACGTAACAAAATGTGGACAAAGGGTTCTGAATACTTTCCAAATGCACTGTATAGACCGGTTATTGGTTAAAGATTTCAGAGCTAGATAAAGAGAAGGATAGAGCACAACAATTGAAGAACCATTTTAATTTGACTAAGGTGGAAGAAACACAGCCATGAGAAAAGAGCCAGTTGAGTGGACAACCAAATCTCCAGTTAATGTAGTTAGATTTCCCTCCTCACCTCATAGGCCATGCCCGGACTATAGAGTGGGATCTCCACGCTAAAGTAGTCCTCCTCTGTTTCCACGGTGAAGCCCCCCATTTCCACTAGCTCCCAGTCCAGCCGGCGGGCCCCGAGGAAGAGCTCCCAGCTCCGCTCCTGGGCCCCATAGTGCAGCAGCACCAGGAGGCCCCTCTCTGTGCACTTACCCTCCAGCATGAGAGGTTCTGGGGCTTGGAGGATGCATGGGGAGGAGAGGGTGGGGGAAAATGTAGAGGGGAGAGAAGGAGAAGATTGGCAAAAGAGTTGAGAGAGTGTAGGAATGAGGGATTTAAACAGGACAGGGAGGCAGGCAACCATGAGTTTAGTTTTAGTTCAACTGATTTTGTCAGGAGATCTTATTATATATATAAATAATCACCTGTCTGCTCTTGAACATCACTCACAATGGTGGCATTATGGTAGAAGACCTCTCCATGGGGTGAGATGGTCAGGGAAAAGGTGAGAGGGAGGGTGTACCTCCTATAGCCCCCATCAATATACTGACATACAAGGGGGAGAGCAGGTTACATTGCATCATTACATTAGGAAGGTAAAAAAAAAAAAAACTGCTAGTGAGATACACACACAGTACATAACTGAAGTACACTGACTATACCAAACAATTGGTACACCTTCCTAATATTCAGTTCCCCCCAATACATTAACTTATACTAGATTAATCATATATTTTCGTTAACTGTAATCTCGTTAGTTATGTTCCAACGTTCCCTCCATCTTGGGCCAATATCAGTTATTAAGTCTTGGTTCCAATAGTTTATATTTTTTCAGAAGAGATTGTCAGTTGGCTAGGTTTTGTATAGTTTACTTATCATATTGAATATCCTCAAATAGGATTCCCACAAGATTGCTCTGATGTCCAAAATATTTCAAATTGATACATCAGAAAAGCAGAACTTAATATTTGGTACAGAAACCTTTGTTTGCAATTACAGAGATCATACGTTTCCTGTAGGTCTTGACCAGGTTTGCACACACTGCAGCAGGGATTTTGGCCCACTCCTCAATACAGACCTTCTCCAGATCCTTCAGGTTTCGGGGCTGTCACTGGGCAATACGGACTTTCAGCTCTCTCCAAAGATTTTCTATTGGGTTCAGGTCTGGAGACTGGCTAGGCCACTCCAGGACCTTGAGATGCTTCTTATGGAGCCACTCCTTAGTTGCCCTGGCTGTGTGTTTTGGGTCGTTGTCATGCTGGAAGACCCAGCCACGACCCATCTTCAATGCTCTTACTGAGGGAAGGAGGTTGTTGGCCATCCATCCTCCCCTCAATACGGTGCAGTCGTCCTGTCCCCTTTGCAGAAAAGCATCCCCAAAGAATGATGTTTCCACCTCCATGCTTCACGGTTGGGATGGTGTTCTTGGGGTTGTACTCATCCTTCTCCCTCCTCCAAACACGGCGAGTGGAGTTTAGACCAAAAAGCTCTAATTTTGTCTCATCAGACCACATGACCTTCTCCCATTCCTCCTCTGGATCATCCAGATGGTCATTGGCAAACTTCAGACGGGCCTGGACATGCGCTGGCTTGAGCAGGGGGACCTTGCGTGCGCTGCAGGATTTTAATCCATGACGGCGTAGTGTGTTACTAATGGTTTTCTTTGAGACTGTGGTCCCAGCTCTCTTCAGGTCATTGACCAGGTCCTGCCGTGTAGTTCTGGGCTGATCCCTCACCTTCCTCATGATCATTGATGTCCCACGAGGTGAGATCTTGCCCCAGACCGAGGGTGATTGACTGTCATTTTGAACTTCTTCCATTTTCTAATAATTGAGCCAACAGTTGTTGCCTTCTCACCAAGCTGCTTGCCTATTGTCCTGTAGCCCATCCCAGCCTTGTGCAGGTCTACAATTGTATCCCTGATGTCCTTACACAGCTCTCTGGTCTTGGCCATTGTGGAGAGGTTGGAGTCTGTTTGATTGAGTGTGTGGACAGGTGTCTTTTATACAGGTAATGAGTGGAGAACAGGAGGGCTTCTTAAAAGAAAAACGAACAGGTCTGTGAGAGCCAGAATTCTTACTGGTTGGTAGGTGATCAAATACTTATGTCATGCAATAAAATGCAAATTAATTACTTAAAAATCATACAATGTGATTTTCTGGATTTTTGTTTTAGATTCCGTCTCTCACAGTTGAAGTACACCTATGATAAAAATTACAGACCTCTACATGCTTTGTAAGTAGGAAAACCTGCAAAATCGGCAGTGTATCAAATACTTGTTCTCCCCACTGTATATGTAGCAAGTAAAAGTCTTGGGCAGCGAGTTGATACAATTCCAAGTCTGGAAGGTTAAAACCCCCCTCAAACTTAGGAAGATGTAAAACGTTCCTTTTTATGCTATGAATTTTATTTGGCCATATAAAGTCTGTTATGACCGAGTATACTTTTTCTTTAAATGTCTTTGGTGGGGTAATTGGTATTACCGAAAATAAATACAAAAACCTTGGGAGCCAAGCCATTCTAAAAGAGGTTTATTCCATCTGTAAGATTTATGGGTAGATTGTTCCATTTAATTATCTGCTTTCATATTGTTCAGTAATGGGATAAAGTTATCTTTATATGTTTGTTGTCACTTATTAAGCATCAGAAGTGGGTTATTTAATATTTTGTGGTCCACTTAAAGAATTGCTGTAGATCGTGCGTTATTCTTTTTCCCCGCGTTAATTTTATATCCTGAGATTTGAGTATTCTGAAATTATTTTTAGCAAAGTGGGCATTGAGTTTTCAATATTGGTCAGGTATATCAGGATTTCATCTGCAAAAAAGTTGAGTTTGTATTCATGTTTACCAATATCGATACCTGTTACGTGTGGGTCCTTTCTAATTATTTCTGCAAGCTGTTGAATTGCCAGTGCAAACAGGAGGGGGGAGAGGGGACATTCCTGTCTTGTGCCCCGTTCTAAAGCAATTTCATCAGATAATGTACTACGTCTATATTTTTGCTTCAGGACATTTATATAATATTTTTATAACATTTATTATTTCAGCTGGAAATTTGAAAGCTTCCAAAGTTTGAATAGGAGAGGCCATTCAAGACGGTCGAAAGCCTTTTCAGCATCAACAGCCATTATTGATGAATCTACATATCGTTTTGAGTATTGTATTAAACTGAAACATGTCCTTGTTTGTAAGTGTCTATTTTTTATAAACCCTTATTGATTGATATGTATCAAGTCTGATAAGACATTTGCCATTCTATTGCTTAGAAGCTTAGTTATTACAGTGGGGGGAAAAAGTATTTAGTCAGCCACCAATTGTGCAAGTTCTCCCACTTAAAAAGATGAGAGGCCTGTAATTTTCATCATAGGTACACGTCAACTATGACAGACAAATTGAGAAAAAATCTTTCCAGAAAATCACATTGTAGGATCTTTAATGAATTTATTTGCAAATTATGGTGGAAAATAAGTATTTGGTCACCTACAAACAAGCAAGATTTCTGGCTCTCACAGACCTGTAACTTCTTCTTTAAGAGGCTCCTCTGTCCTCCACTCGTTACCTGTATTAATGGCACCTGTTTGAACTTGTTATCAGTATAAAAGACACCTGTCCACAACCTCAAACAGTCACACTCCAAACTTCACAATGGCCAAGACCAAAGAGCTGTCAAAGGACACCAAAAACAAAAGTGTAGTGCCAGACGTGTCCCCCTGCTTAAGCCAGTACATGTCCAGGCCCGTCTGAAGTTTGCTAGAGTGCATTTGGATGATCCAGAAGAGGATTGGGAGAATGTCATATGGTCAGATGAAACCAAAATTTAACTTTTTGGTAAAAAACTCAACTCGTCGTGTTTGGAGGACAAAGAATGCTGAGTTGCATCCAAAGAACACCATACCTACTGTGAAGCATGGGGGTGGAAACATCATGCTTTGGGGCTGTTTTTCTGCAAAGGGACCAGGACGACTGATCCGTGTAAAGGAAAGAATGAATGGGGCCATGTATCGTGAGATTTTGAGTGAAAACCTCCTTCCATCAGCAAGGGCATTGAAGATGAAACATGGCTGGGTCTTTCAGCATGACAATGATCCCAAACACACCGCCCGGGCAACGAAGGAGTGGCTTCGTAAGAAGCATTTCAAGGTCCTGGAGTGGCCTAGCCAGTCTCCAGATCTCAACCCCATAGAAAATCTTTGGAGGGATTTGAAAGTCCGTGTTGCCCAGCGACAGCCCCAAAACATCACTGCTCTAGAGGAGATCTGCATGGAGGAATGGGCCAAAATACCAGCAACAGTGTGTGAAAACCTTGTGAAGACTTACAGAAAACGTTTGACCTGTGTCATTGCCAACAAAGGGTATATAACAAAGTATTGAGAAACTTTTGTTATTGACCAAATACTTATTTTCCACCATAATTTGCAAATAAATTCATTAAAAATCCTACAATGTGATTTTCTGGATTTTTTTTCCTCATTGTCTGTCATAGTTGACGTGTACCTATGATGAAAATTACAGGCCTCTCTTATCTTTTTAAGTGGGAGAACTTGCACAATTGGTGGCTGACTAAATACTTTTTTTCCCCACTATATTTTATTGTCACAATTTATTAAACTTATGAGTCTGTAAATGTATGGGACTCCAGATTTCTGGTTTTAATATACTGTAACTGAAATAAACTGTTTGATACATGGAACAAGGAAGTACTGAATTTAGTGACGTGTGTTGTCGTTTGTGTAAAATGTTAAATAGAATTCTATGGGAAAGCCATCCATTCCTGGTGATTTTCTACGCATTCATGTTTTAACTGTATTTATTTTTGTGTGAGATCTGTTTACAGTGATTATTGTTTGTCTGATGGTATTTGCTTCAGGGCTGTTGAGTCTAAGAAGGCTATAGGATCCATCCAACTGTTGATCATTCTGATTTATATACATTTTTCATAGAAGCTTTTAGAATGGTCATTAATCACGTTATTTCTAAATTATCGCATTTGTATTGTATAACTGGTCTAGCATGTATTCGTTTTGTGAGACCTGCGAGATATTTACCAGGTTAATTTGTGATTAAGTAATATGCTTTGAGTTTAACCTGTAATTGCTGGCTCTCTTCAAAAGTAAAAGTTTGTATTCCTGCTTACAGTGAGGGGAAAAAAGTATTTCATCCCCTGCTGATTTTGTACGTTTGCCCACTGACAAAGAAATGATCAGTCTATAATTTTAATGGTAGGTTTATTTGAACAGTGAGAGACAGAATAACAAAACAAAAAATCCAGAAAAATGCATGTCAAAAATGTTATAAATTGATTTGCATTTTAATGAGGGAAATAAGAATTTGACCCCTCTGCAAAACATTACTTAGTACTCTGTGGCAAAACCCTTGTTGGCAATCGTAGAGGTCAGACGTTTCTTGTAGTTGGCCACCAGGTTTGCACACATCTCAGGAGGGATTTTGTCCCACTCCTCTTTGCAGATCTTCTCCAAGTCATTAAGGTTTCGAGGCTGACGTTTGGGAACTTGAACCTTCAGCTCCCTCCACAGATTTTCTATGGGATTAAGGTCTGAAGACTGCCTAGGCCACTCCAGGACCTTAATGTGCTTCTTCTTGAGCCACTCCTGTTGCCTTGGCCGGGTGTTTTGGGTCATTGTCATGCTGGAATACCCATCCACGACCCATTTTCAATGCCCTGGCTGAGGGAAGGAGGTTCTCACCCAAGATTTGACGGTACATGGCCCCGTCCATCGTCCCTTTGATGCGGTGAAGTTGTCCTGTCCCCTTAGCAGAAAAACACCCCCAAAGCATAATGTTTCCACCTCTATGTTTGACGGTGGGGATGGTGTTCTTGGGGTCATAGGCAGCATTCCTCCTCCTCCAAACACGGCGAGTTGAGTTGATGCCAAAGAGCTCGATTTTGGTCTCATCTGACCACAACACTTTCACCCAGTTCTCCTCTGAATCATTCAGATATTCATTGGCAAACTTCAGACGGCCCTGTATATGTGCTTTCTTGAGCACGGGGACCTTGCGGGCGCTGCAGGATTTCAGTCCTTCACAGCATAGTGTGTTACCAATTGTTTTCTTGGTGACTATGGTCCCAGATGCCTTGAGATCATTGACAAGATCCTCCCGTGTAGTTCTGGGCTGATTCCTCACCGTTCTCATGATCATTGCAACTCCACGAGGTGAGATCTTGCATGGAGCCCCAGGCCGAGGGAGATTGACAGTTATTTAGTGTTTCTTCCATTTGCAAATAATCGCACCAACTGTTGTCACCTTCTCACCAAGCTGCTTGGCGATGGTCTTGTAGCCCATTCCAGCCTTGTGTAGGTCTACAGTCTTGTCCCTGACATCCTTGGAGAGCTCTTTGGTCTTGGCCATGGTGGTGAGTTTGGAATCTGATTGATTGCTTCTGTGGACAGGTGTCTTTTATACAGGTAACAAACAGATTAGGAGCACTCCCTTTAAGAATGTGCTCCTAATCTCAGCTCGATACCTGTATAAAAGACACCTGGGAGCCAGAAATCTTTCTGATTGAGAGGGGGTCAAATACTTATTTCCCTCAATAAAATGCAAATCAATTTATAACATTTTTGACATGTCATTATACATACATTGGAGAAAGACTGCCACTTAAGTAATGTGGTCGGTTTGTAAACTCAGCAAAAATAGAAACGTCCCTTTTTCAGGACCCTATCTATAAAAGATCATACGTAAAAATCCAAATAACTTCACAGATCTTCATTGTAAAAGGGTTTAAACACTGTTTCCCATGCTTGTTCAATGAACCATAAACAATTAATGAACATGCACCTGTGGAATGGTCGTTAAGACACTAACAGCTTACAGACGGTAGGCAATTAAGGTCACAGTTATGAAAACTTAGGACACTAAGAGGCCTTTCTACTGACTCTGAAAAACACAAAAAGAAAGATGCCCAGGGTCCCTGCTCATCTGCGTGAACGTGCCTTAGGCATGCTGCAAGGACGCATGAGGACTGCAGATGTGGCCAGGGCAATAAATTGCAATGTCCGTACTGTGAGACGCCTAAGACAGCGCTACAGGGAGAGGACGGACAGCTGATTGTCCTCAAAGTGGCAGACCACGTGTAACAACACCTGCACAGGATCGGTACAGCCTGGATGGCAACAACTGCCCGAGTTACACCAGCAACGTACAATCCCTCCATCAGTGCTCAGACTGTCCGCAATAGGCTGAGAGAGGCTGGACTGAGGGCTTGTAGGCATGTTGTAAGGCAGGTCCTAAATCAGACATCACCGGCAACAACGTCGCCAATGGGCACAAACCCACCATCGATGGACCAGACAGGACTGGCAAAAAGTGCTCTTCACTGACAAGTTGCGGTTTTGTCTCACCCAGGGGTAATGGTTGGATTCGTGTTTATTGTCGAAGGAATGAGCGTTACACCGAGGCCTGTACTCTGGAGCGGGATCGATTTGGAGGTGGAGGGTCCGTCATGGTCTGGGGCGGTGTGTCACAGCATCATCGGACTGAGCTTGTTGTCATTGCAGGCAATCGCATCGTTGTGCGTTACAGGGAAGACATCCTCCTCCCTCATGTGTTACCCTTCCTGCAGGTTCATCCTGACATGACCCTCCAGCATGACAATGCCACCAGCCATACTGCTCGTTCTGTGTGTGATTTCCTGCAAGACAGGAATGTCAGTGTTCTGCCACGGCCAGCGAAGAGCCCAGATCTCAATCCCATTGAGCACGTCTGGGACCTGTTGGATTGGAGGGTGTCCCATAAATGTCCGGGAACTTGCAGGTGCCTTGGTGGAAGAGTGGGGTAACATCTCCTCCATCTCCAGCACTGCCGGGAATCAGAGTTGAAACTTGACTCCTTTTTTCTCCAGGGACTATCTGATAGGAATGAATTGCTTACCATTTTTCCTCAGCTAAGCAGACAGATCCTGGATGAATCTAATGGACTGGCCATGGATTTTAATCTCCTTTCCCCCCTGTGCCTTCAGAAAGTCAACTTTGGTCTGATAGTTCCACAGCGTAAAGATGACCATGCGAGGGCATTTAGCGTTCTTCTGTTTCACGCCGATCCGATGGCTTCGCTCCAGATCCTCCGGTGATTCATCCATGCCATCTTCGTCTACTAAAGTTTGCACCTTTGTTTTCAGAAGGCCCGTTTTGTTGTCCAGTTCGTCCACCCTGTGTATATGGCATATCTAACATGATAGACTTCCCATTCGAGCAAATCTACTTTTAACAAACAGATTGTAACAGTTTGTTTGTTTTGGTGAGCATTGAGATCATTTTAGATATGTTTTCCTGGATATCCTTCAGCTGTTCATTGCCCTCATTTGAATTTCCAAGTTGCTCTGTCTTTTCCTGTAAGGGAAGCAATGGCTTGTTGGGTTCCAGTCCCTTTACCCAAAGATTAGTTTGCTGTTGTATATAACTGACCACTCACTCTCTCTTGGTTGCTTGGGTATATATTGATCTATCAATTTTAGAGGCTTAATTTAAACCATGTTGTGTAGTTTCGACATATAACCACAATTTTGACGGTACAAAACAGAGCTATTCACACCCCATGCGTCCTATCGGTATGCACATGCGCCTCTTCGGTTGGTGGACCATTGTTGAAACACACAGGAAACTGTTGAGCGTGAAAAACCCAGCAGCATTGCAGTTCTTGACACAAACCGGGCACCTACTACCATAGCCCGTTCAAAAGGCACTTAAATATTTTGTCTTGCCCATTCACCCTCTGAATGGCACACATACATCCATGTCTCAATTGTCTCAAGGCTTAAAAATCCTTCTTTAACCTGTCTCCTCCCCTTCAGTTACACTGATTGAAGTGGATTTTACCCCACTAGAGTCGCTTTTCCCGACCCCGCGTAAATCGAATTAGCATAATTTTACAAATCAGTCAGTTTAAGCTGGAGATATACAGTGGGGAGAACAAGTATTTGATACACTGCCGATTTTGCAGGTTTTCCTACTTACAAAGCATGTAGAGGACTGTAATTTTTATCATAGGTACACTTCAACTGTGAGACGGAATCTAAAACAAAAATCCAGAAAAATCACATTGTATGATTTTTAAGTAATTAATTTGCATTTTATTGCATGACATAAGTATTTGATACATCAGAAAAATAAGAACTTAATATTTGGTACAGAAACCTGTTTGCAATTACAGAGATCATACGTTTCCTGTAGGTCTTGACCAGGTTTGCACACACTGCAGCAGGGATTTTGGCCCACTCCTCCATACAGACCTTCTCCAGATCCTTCAGGTTTCGGGGCTGTCGCTGGGCAATACGGACTTTCAGCTCCATCCAAAGATTTTCTATTGGGTTCAGGTCTGGAGACTGGCTAGGCCACTCAAGGACCTTGAGATGCTTCTTACAGAGCCACTCCTTAGTTGCCCTGGCTGTGTGTTTTGGGTCGTTGTCATGCTGGAAGACCCAGCCACGACCCATCTTCAATGCTCTTACTGAGGGAAGGAGGTTGTTGGTAGAAGATCTCGCGATACATGGCCCCATCCATCCTCCCCTCAATACGGTGCAGTCGTCCTGTCCCCTTTGCAGAAAAGCATCCCCAAAGAATAACATGACCTTCTCCCATTCCTCCTCTGGATCATCCAGATGGTCATTGGCAAACTTCAGACGGACCTGGACATGCGCTGGCTTGAGCAGGGGGACCTTGCGTGCGCTGCAGGATTTTAATCCATGATGGCGTAGTGTGTTACTAATGGTTTTCTTTGAGACTGTGGTCCCAGCTCTCTTCAGGTCATTGACCAGGTCCTGCCGTGTAGTTCTGGGCTGATCCCTCACCTTCCTCATGATCATTGATGCCCCACGAGGTGAGATCTTGCATGGAGCCCCAGACCGAGGGTGATTGACCGTCATCTTGAACTTCTTCCATTTTCTAATAATTGCGCCAACAGTTGTTGCCTTCTCACCAAGCTGCTTGCCTATTGTCCTGTAGCCCATCCCAGCCTTGTGCAGGTCTACAATTTTATCCCTGATGTCCTTACACAGCTCTCTGGTCTTGGCCATTGTGGTTGGAGTCTGTTTGATTGAGTGTGTGGACAGGTGTCTTTTATACAGGTAACGAGTTCAAACAGGTGCAGTTAATGCAGGTAATGAGTGGAGAACAGGAGGGCTTCTTAAAGAAAAACTAACAGGTCTGTGAGAGCCGGAATTCTTACTGGTTGGTAGGTGATCAAATACTTATGTCATGCAATAAAATGCAAATTAATTACTTAAAAATCATACAATGTGATTTTTCTGGATTTTTGTTTTAGATTCCGTCTCACAGTTGAAGTGTACCTATGATAAAAATTACAGTCCTCTACATGCTTTGTAAGTAGGAAAACCTGCAAAATCGTGTATATTTTTTTGCATTGGATGCGTCTCAATCCACTGAGGTCACACTTCTGCATCTGCGGTGAAAGGTAACAGAGCTATAGCGGTGGTTGTCAGACCATGAGACATCCCGATAATCGGTCTTCTCACAAAATCGGCAGACGAGTCCCAAGACGTTCAGAAGTCGGTACAGCCGATCTGCCAACTGCTATCTGTAGCGTCCGAACAGTTTGGGCACACTAATATGACCCCTCTGTGGAAAGGCAAGACTCTCACGAACATGGACATGTCGGTTTGCTCTAGGACGCCCACAGGCCTCACAAGACTCGTCTAAACGTCCCCCAGTACCAGTTGAAAAAAATTTATGGAAGTATATATGGAGACTGTTCAGTGCCAAAAATAAGGGGTTAAATATATGTACAAAAAAATAAAAATCCTGATCTTTCTTATATCTCTCAGATATAGGACAGACACTTCAGAACAAACTTCCTTTAGATGTATTTTTGGGACCATCTGTTGTTCCATGTAGTGAATCTGTTTTTCAATGCATTTGTATGGGCTAATAGTAAGGCCAAATTAAAATGTTCATAAAAAAATGAAATGGGGATACTTCAAGGGGTCTTAAAATCCTAAATCAAATAGCTAAATGATCCTTGGTATGACCTTCTTAAAACAATTCCATATAGCTTAGTAGAACCTCCCCCGGCTTGGAAAGGGCTTAGACTGTAGAGGGCTTAACAAGTGACATCAATAAGGGATCATAGCTTTCATCTAGATTCACCTGGTCAGCCTGTGTCATGGAAATGTTCTTAATGTTTTGTATACTCACTGTACATCTCTACAATTGGTTCTTCTCTCCGCCTCTCTTCATTTGTCTTACCTTCTGAAGAACAGAGGGGTGTGAGAAGGGGGCACGAAGCTGGTAGGAGTGTGACCCGTTGGGGTAGGGGACCTGGACCCAGGACAAAGTGTCCCCCTCACTCCCCCCGGTGACGTTGTGGAGGGACACGTCAGGAGGGAACACACCCAGGGAGACAGAGAACACCTTCTGGGACGATATGGTGTCTGGGGAGGGAACAGATTTAGTGGGTGTGGAGTCATGATCAAAGCATGCAAACAGATTGGTATTGAAATTACTGTTAACTGATGTGGGTTTTAGTGACAATCTAATTCACCTTTCTTTTTCTTTCAATCTATCCCATAAATATGCAGCCTCCAGCATGTTTTGTAACTTATGCCAGTTTTCGAGCAGTGGCCAACCATTGTGGTAATATAGCAAATTTGGCCGAATTCATTCAAAGCAGAGATTCATATTTGAGTACTCATAGTAGATGGATACTGACGGTCTGTGAGTGTGGGGGTCCAGGGGAACATAGGAGGTCTTGAGGAACCTGAAAGAGCGATGCTGGGTGAGGTGCCACCGGTCATCCTCCCACTGGTGCAGGTAGAATAGGTCTACAGACACAGACTGGCTGTACTGGCCCTCCAACACACCACTCTGGGACAAGAAATAGCAGTTGAATGTATGTACAGTGGGGGAAAAAAAGTATTTAGTCAGCCACCAATTGTGCAAGTTCTCCCACTTAAAAAGATGAGAGAGGCCTGTAATTTTCATCATAGGTACACATCAACTATGACAGACAAAATGAGAAATAAAAAATCCAGAAAATCACATTGTAGGATTTTTTATGAATTTATTTGCAAATTATGGTGGAAAATAAGTATTTGGTCAATAACAAAAGTTTCTCAATACTTTGTTATATACCCTTTGTTGGCAATGACACAGGTCAAACGTTTTCTGTAAGTCTTCACAAGGTTTTCACACACTGTTGCTGGTATTTTGGCCCATTCCTCCATTCAGATCTCCTCTAGAGCAGTGATGTTTTGGGGCTGTCGCTGGGCAACACGGACTTTCAACTCCCTCCAAAGATTTTCTATGGGGTTGAGATTTGGAGACTGGCTAGGCCACTCCAGGACCTTGAAATGCTTCTTACGAAGCCACTCCTTCGTTGCCCGGGCAGTGTGTTTGGGATCATTGTCATGCTGAAAGACCCAGCCACGTTTAATCTTCAATGCCCTTGCTGATGGAAGGAGGTTTTCACTCAAAATCTCACGATACATGGCCCCATTCATTCTTTCCTTTACACGGATCAGTCGTCCTGGTCCCTTTGCAGAAAAACAGCCCCAAAGCATGATGTTTCCACCCCCATGCTTCACAGTAGGTATGGTGTTCTTTGGATGCAACTCCGCATTCTTTGTCCTCCAAACACAACGAGTTGAGTTTTTACCAAAAAGTTATATTTTGGTTTCATCTGACCATATGACATTCTCCCAATCCTCTTCTGGATCATCCAAATGCACTCTAGCAAACTTCAGACGGGCCTGGACATGTACTGGCTTAAGCAGGGGGACACGTCTGGCACTGCAGGATCTGAGTCCCTGGCGGCGTAGTGTGTTACTGATGGTAGGCTTTGTTACTTTGGACCCAGCTCTCTGCAGGTCATTCACTAGGTCCCCCCGTGTGGTTCTGGGATTTTTGCTCACCGTTCTTGTGATCATTTTGACCCCACGGGGTGAGATCTTGCGTGGAGCCCCAGATCGAGGGAGATTATCAGTGGTCTTGTATGTCTTCCATTTCCTAATAATTGCTCCCACAGTTGATTTCTTCAAACCAAGCTGCTTACCTATTGCAGATTCAGTCTTCCCAGCCTGGTGCAGGTCTACAATTTTGTTTCTGGTGTCCTTTGACAGCTCTTTGGTCTTGGCCATAGTGGAGTTTGGAGTGTGACTGTTTGAGGTTGTGGACAGGTGTCTTTTATACTGATAACAAGTTCAAACAGGTGCCATTAATACAGGTAACGAGTGGAGGACAGAGGAGCCTCTTAAAGAAGAAGTTACAGGTCTGTGAGAGCCAGAAATCTTGCTTGTTTGTAGGTGACCAAATACTTATTTTCCACCATAATTTGCAAATAAATACATTAAAAATCCTACAATGTGATTTTCTGGAGAAAAAAAATCTCAATTTGTCTGTCATAGTTGACGTGTACCTATGATGAAAATTACAGGCCTCTCATCTTTTTAAGTGGGAGAACATGCACAATTGGTGGCTGACTAAATACTTTTTTCCCCCACTGTATGTATGTATGCATGCATGTGTGTGTGTGTGTACCTTAACATGTGTTCCCTCGGCTCCGAATGGAACGCTGACCTCCACCACTCCATCCGTCAGGCTGATCTCATACCCCCTCTCCTTGATCACAGACTCACTCAGGGCAAGCGTCTCCACTCCTATTCTCATGCCTCTGTCCCTGAACCTCCCATGGACCAGGGGGGAGAGGACATGGGGGACAGGCCAGAGCAGGTGGGCACCATCCACTGTCGCCTCATCTTGGGGAGTTAAGGGAGGCAGGGAGGGATGGGGGGAGCAGTAAGAATAAGGAGATTGTAGCGTCAAAAGAGGATTGCAGATTAAAGTCAAAGCTAAGATTCTCATTGTCATTTGTATGCCCTAATAAATAGACCACGTACTCATGGAGCAGGCCACTGTGGCATCGATGGCAAGGACCTTCCCTTGATGTGGATACAGGATCGTAGCATTGACCACTTCCAACTCCACACCTTTCTCCTGTGTGTGCATAGGCGTGGTCAAGTGAAAGACAAGAGTTAGTCTAACGTGTATACCAATATATTCAGAGCACAGTAAACACCCTCATCAGAAGTACCTTGATGGTGTAGGAGAGGGGTGAGGAGTAGGGGCAGCGCAGGATAATCCTGGAGCCTGACTCAGAGAGGTAGTAGCCCAGGGCACTGGCCTCTGCCATGGTCCTGGGTCTAACCTCCCCTTGGGTGTGGCCTGGTCTGTGGAACATCATGCCTCTCTTTCCCACCTCCTCTTTCTTCTGTCCAGAGTCTAACGCAGCTGGTCCCTTTATGGACACCTTGGAGAACAATTAAAGGAGAGACACAGTGTAATTAAAACATAACCGATTTGAAACATGTAAGTTTGACACAGAAGTTTGGCAAAGTTCCAGGCGCAGATGGACAGTACATTTCTATTCTATTGTGATCTGATGGACCTGTAAGTCACCTCCATGTAGCTCTCCTCACAGACGAGCTCCCGGATGCCCCAGGGCCACTGGGGGGCGCAGTGGAGCAGGAAGGGGTACCCTAGGTCCCTCCCATTCACCTGCCGGTTCACCAACCACACCTTCAGACGGAACTCAGAGTCCCACTGCACAGAAGAGGTTCTTATTCAATTCAGTTAATCAGAAAACAAGTTAGAAGTCAAGCTAATTCACTTGGATTCATTATTATATTGATGATTGAGATGGAAGGACAATTTGGCTTCTATACAGTCGACTCCTGATTTGTACACATCCTAATTCCTACACAACTCATTCAGTCCAAGCCATTGCATATCCAAATTTGACTGTATATACACCAGTATATTGAATATATATATCAATTTTGGGTCAATCAAGTCCACCTGGTTGTTGACGTGGCAGGCGAGGAACGAGGCACGGAACACCAGGTCTCCATGGTGATTGAAGAGCACGGTGTAGCCACACTCAGTGGCCTTTTGGCCAGACAGGAAGTGAACTCCCTGGTGGTCTGATGACAACAGAGGTTTAGAGAAAGTATGCATCAATATTCACAGTGCAGCTGGCTATGGTGTCTTCATACTGATAGATAGAGGACTCAAGTGCCCAAAACCTAGTTTTAGCATGGGCAGCGCCATTGAGGACTTTCACAATTTTAGTAGTCAACTGGGTGGAACGGCCTATGGGTTAAGGAAGGATCACATAATTCCATCCAGGTCATCAGGAGAGATCAGCCAATGAATTATACTCGTGAGCAAACATTCCATGACTGCAGGTGGCAGTAAATCCCCAACGTGGGCTTTATACCTACACACTCAAGGTGGCAGTATGCACCCTTTCAGTTTGTTTACCAACTCATAGCAGTAGTAGACCAAAAATGTATTTGAAATGGAGATGGCCTCAATGGTGGTACCTGTGCTCTCAGGCGCCATAATGGGACCTATACAATGTTACATCCTCTAACTAACTATCTCTATGGGTGTACTCCACATTCAAATGACATTCTTGTTCTCCGAAACGTTCACATTCTAGACAAGTTCAGTCTAAGATGATCAAGTACAACACACCAGTGGCAGTTGGGTAAAAGGCTGTATCCATATTTCAACCAATAATATTACACTCGCACCTTGAACATCGAATCGGATCATAGGGCCAAGGAAGCCAGACTTGACAAACAGCCAGAAGTGACGTTCATGACACTCAGACCGGAATGTTCCTATAACACAAGACAGATGGAATCATTACCATAAACTCATTGACACAGAACGTGTTTTGTTTAGTATGAATCAGGCATAAAAGTGAAGAGGCTGATTAAACAGTGGTATGCTGTTTAATGAACAGATGTTTGTTTATGGTGTATCCATCTGTCTATGACACAGAAATTAACCACATTCAATCACAATAACAACATGGTGAATGAATAATATGAATCTGTACAGTTTTGTGTTCTTGTTTCAGGGTTATTTACAAATCCTGGCAGATATGCATGCATCATCTAAGTGCATCTAAGATTCCATTTTATTGTGAATCTTTTATTGGACGATGTCCAAATATATCTATTTTTGCATTGGAGTCTCAGTTTCGGATTTGTCCACATTTGACAAGTGTGCGAGACAAGGCATTTGGCAGAAGTCTCCTTTACTGTATTGCTACTAAGAAAGGTTATGCGGCAGGTAGCTTAGTGGTTAAGAGCGTTGTGCCAGTAACCGAAAGGTCGCTGGTTCTAATCCCCAAGCCGACTAGGTGAAGAATCTGTAGATGTGCCCTTGAGCAAGGCACTTAACCCTAATTGCTCCTGTAAGTCGCTCTGGATTAGAGCGTCTGCTAAATGACTAAAATGTAATGCTGTAAATGGCCATCAGGGGACGACATAGTTCTAGTGAGAGAATCAGTCTGGTGGGTGAGAGCAGGGCTGTATTCATTACGTCTTGCAATGGAAACAGTTGACCATTTAAGGACCAAACCGAAAAAAACGTCACGGGGAGGGACCATACTGAATTTGTCCAATAGAAACTTGTTTCAAAACATTTTCCATTTGGAGTATACGATTTGTTGCAAAACGTTTTGAAAAATACTACATTTTTTTGCAACAGAATCGTGATAATGAATACACCCCTGTGGTGTAATCCGTTGCAAAACGTTTTGGACAAATGAAACCGTTTACTCCCAACGGAAAAAGTTTTGCAATGAAAAGGAGAGTTTATATTGGACAAAATGCAGGTAGGTTGTACCAGTTGGTTCTGTTTGCTTCCTAGTAAATAAACAACAGCACTGTAAATCGAATCAAACTTACCAACTGGTACAGGAGTTGGGATACTGAGTGTAGCACAGGGTAACAGTATGCTGGAAGAAATATTGGTAGAAGTGAGGAATTCAAATGTATATATGGATTACCTATTATATTACTATGACCAGAACCTACCACAGTCACTACATTCACCTCTTAAAACTCACCCCATAATTATTTTGAGAAACCTAACCTTCATTATACAATGTATGGTCATGTTTGGTATAGTGTAATGGTAACGTGAAAAGTTACTTAATTTCTATTTCCTTATCTTTCTCTATTTTCTTTTGCAATTCATCAAACTTCTCCATGATTGGCACCATTTTGACTGTCAGTGGCAGCCACACCTGTCCATTCCCTAATTGGTAGAGAGCTGATTGCTTTCATAGGATCCACCAATCAACAAGGCACAATCAATAAGCGCTAGTTGGCTGCCAACTCGCGATAAAAGTAGACCATTTTCAAGCAAATATTCAAACCCCATTCATTAATTGGCCATCATACGTATTTCTAAAATCACCATAGGCTTAAATGTATCGGCCTAACCAACAGGTCCACATATGCCAAGACCCGCATTTATCCTACGTTTCTTTGTTACACGGGAATATACAGATGATCCCTTGCGTGTGTTAGACAACTGAGAGATGAGCTCGAAGAACAAGTGTCTCCCGAAAGAAGATCTATAATGTAGATCTCTGTCTTTAAAGAACATTTTATAATTGTATCGCAGAAAGACCATAAACAGCTGATGCAGAATAAATTAAAAGATGAATGAAAAAGAGGGAAGGAATATGTGCGTTTGCAATTGCAAATTTTTTATGTAGGTTTGACAGCGCAACTTAACGCACAGCAAATGTGCTAAAATACAGTTCTAGGTTTAGATTTTTACAGTGACAACAAGATGAGCAGCGCCACTGTAAGTAACCAGCCTAAAACAAGGCATCTATTTTGTTTCGTAAATGAATCATTATGAATCGGTTGATTATAATGAAATGTGTCCTGTAGCCTATTTAGGCCTATTCAATCACCCACAGTTGAAATGTTATCGAATGATTCAAATACAGCTCGTGATATTCTTTGAGTCATATTTCCTTTGCATTCATAACCATGCATTTAAGTGGCATTAGATGTATTTATTGTGCACCATATTAGGCTACTTGTCAAGGATGCTGACAAAATAAAATATGTTAATGTTTGTGTGTGGCACGAGGGAGCAGAGGAAGAAACTGCATCACTTTCTGACAGACCTGGCCATATTGGGATCATTGCAGGTTAGTTCTTATAGTTCTAGAACCAGATAAATCTCCATCCAATCGATGTGGTAAATGATTTAAAGGGCCAGAAAACATTAATTATGCAACAAGCTCTCACAGTCTCACTGCAGAATTAGACGTTCATCCATGTTCCAAAACATCACATTTCGAAGTGTTTTTGTTGCTCTGTATCATTCCATTTCTACAAACCTCAAATGTCGAATTTAAGTTTAGGCACTTATTCCGAATGGTTAAGGTAAGGGTTTGGGATAGGGTTAAAACAAAAAACAGTGTCTGCGACTGAATTACACCCATCCACCTCCCCTGTCCACAAAACCCAAGCCTACTTGATGGTAATAGCACTCACTGTTGCCCCTAGTGGCCGGTTTTTAAGGCATTTCCTGACCTCCTCAAGACATCTATTGACCATCAACTCCACCGTGTCTACCTTGTTTTCTCAAACATCCAGAAATGGACGACGAGCCATTCATTTAAGTCTATATTATGATGGTTCTTTTATTCCAGGACAGTAATGAGAAAACATTTTAAAACAGAGGGAAACAGGGAAATTCTATCTTAACTTGTCCAATTAGAACACAGCTATTGTGTGCCATACTGAACATGCCCCTGGTCTCCCCCCTCAGGGTTGGCATTCCCCTGGGTTCATGGTGTCGGCTGCCTCATCCAGCAGCACCTACAGCCTGGCTAGTGACACCAGATCCTCCCTGCCCGGGGACCACCAGGGGCCTCATCAGGATACTCACAGAATAATGTAGCTATAGTTTTCCACAGGGGCAGCAGTGAGGCCCATCTCCTACCAGCCTCCCCCAGTGAGAGGGAGATGGCAGCCTGTGAGTAGTCATCATTGCAACCCACTCAGTTTCAATAGGGAATCAAACAGTCATATTTTATACTGACTCATAGTCATCTCTTCAGGAAGTGAATTGCACTCTTTTCCTATTGGCCGGCTACGCCAAGTATGGCCGCCCGTACGCCTGGATACGGTCCAATCACGAGTGCCTGATCAACATCGGTGGCACTGATTCGATGGTGAAGGACACGCCCATGAAACTGATTCAATGGTGAAAGACACACCAATGAAACTCAAGTCCATCAGAGACTGGGGATCACAAGGTTCTGACAGTTTACATTTACTTTTTTAGTTTGCACCCCACCAAGGCAATAATCCAGCGGAAACACAGAATCCAATACATATCTGATCAGCTATACATTTCTCCCCCTCCCTGTTGCCCATCCCTATAGGAATACGGCTATGGGATGTAATGAGTGAGCTGGTGTGCCTATGCACCATTCCATCTCCCTCTAACCCCTTCACCCTGGATATGCACTAACCTGAAAAGCCTTCCCTCCCAGAGCGTTTCCTGGTCTCTGGAGCCCTGCTCAACTTGCTGGAAACCTATGCTGTCTATGGCAACTGGGATGAGCTGTAGTACAACAAAGGTGAGTCATAATGACATAAAACATTCTTGAAACGTATCTACAATTTTTTTAATAGGCCGAATCTCTGTACCCAGAGCCAAATCGTCAAGACAGACTAGAATAAATAGACCTATGGTGCTGGGGTTTAGTGATTTTTTTTTTGTGAAATTGCAAAAAGTGAGTGGATACAGAATTTGGATACAGAATCAAAACATCCAAATATGAATGTGTTGACCTGCAATGCCAAGTGTTTATAAATGGCTTAATATGGCATGTACCTGGGCTACATGTGTATTTTCTAACCAATAATATTCATAAACACATTATGATGAATGTTGCTCTAGTCTATAGCAGCCAGGTGGCAGTGTTGGGCTGTATGTGACAATGGCCTACCTTTCTTAATTGAGCTCTCTGTCCTCACTCTTTCATTCTCTCTTCCTCGCTCTCTCCCTGACACACTCCCCGTGAAGAGGTGAAGTCTCAGGCATCTCCATATCCAGACTTTGTCTGAGGTCCAGAGACGGCAGGGCAGCAGCACCAGGCCAGCCACTCCCGCTTCAGGAGAGTCCTCAGAGGAAGAGTGGCCAGGGTCATATTCATTAGTGCACACTGTAGCAAAACTCTTTGCAACGAAAACAACCGTTTATTGGATAAGTCCAGGTAGTCCCTCCCCGGGGAGAGGGTAATTGTGCCAGTAAAACAAAAGGGAATCCTTATTTGCTCTCATTTGAAAGTGCTAAGCCCAGTACCATAAGGGTACATTTGAATGTATGGTACTCCATCTCCTGGAGTACTGTAACTTCACCTCAGTCAGAGTGAAGCTCGAGGTAAATGCCAGTGTAAACAACGGTATGAAATGTCAGAATAAAGTACCCTGAGAAATAAGCCTCAACTTTCAATTTATCCCATGACCCCCTGGTGACCTTCTGCCTGCCAGCTCCGGCCCCACAACGGAATGTTGTTTTCTTTCAGTCAGTTAGACCCACCCTTTTTTTTTTAAAGGCCAAATAGTGTTTTAAATAGATATGCCTCTGCTTGTTTAGTGTCATTCATCAAATGCTTGGCACCAGTACTAAAACTGACATAGTACAGGCTGTAGTGTGGTACAGGATGTTTGTTTATAGCTTGAGGTTGGCTTCAGTTGAGGTAGAAAGACAATTCCAAAAGACAAAGTATCATTGTATGAACGTTTATTATTCCATAGCTTACATGTATATAAATATGTAAACATGTATAAAACAAGTACAACAAAAACCAGACATTAAAAGCAGGCACTTGCCCTCCCAAGATGGGGTTGTGCCATTTGTAGTTTGAGATGCATCACAATAGTCATTCAAATAAATGGTTAAAAACGATCCATTGATAACTTGTCAATTCAAATAACATTTAAAAACAAAGGCACCTTTTACTGTAAACCATGCAGATATGAGGTGCCCAATGAATGCAACCCTGACGTGGTGGTCAAAGTAATGAGAAGTCTATTGTATGGAATGAGCAGATGTGGCATGAGAAAGTGAGTGAGGAGCGAGAGAGTGTTTGTGTGTGTAGAAACAGGTATTTGAGCTTGGGGCCAGGATGCCTATACACTAATGCTATGAAACATGCAGAGTCATGAGGTTATGTTAAGCCAGACAGAGGGGAGGGAGTGGGCGGGGCCAAGGAGGATACGAGAACTCTAATGTCCCCATCGGAATGCAGGTGCACTGACGAAGTTCCGAACACTCCAAACCAACGTTACTGCCCCACACAGGAACAAAGTGTTCCCAACCCAGGGTTCTACTTCGCCCACACGGGAATAGTGAGGAACAAGGAGGATCATGGGTGAGTGATTTTCCCACATACATGCAAATAATAATATATACATACATACATCAGTGGAGGCTGCTGAGGGGAGGATGGCTCATAATAATGGCTGGAACGGCGCAAATGGAATGACATCAAAAGCATGGAAACCATGTGTTTGATGCATTGGATACCATTCGACTAACTCCGCTCCAGCCATTACCACGAGTCTGTCCTCCCCAATTAAGGTGCCACCAACCTCCTGTGACATACATACAGTACATGTAGAAAGAAAAAAACTCTTACTGGTAAAATGCACATGAGGGGGTACTTCAGGGGTACTCCAATTCAGTTGGTGGTACCGTGACCGAAAAAGGTAGGGAACCACTGGACTAAATGACGTATGTGGTGAAGTCTGAACCGAATGAATTGATACTAAAATGTATTAAAACCTTGCCTATGAACGCAGATTACTGTGTAGCTATGACAACAATAGCCCATGTTCTTCTATGGTCTGCTCAAATTAACCCTTTTTGCCCCATGAATCCTCACACACACACACTATCTCTGTTTGTAACCCCTCTCCCAAGACTAACACTGCGCTCACGTTTCAGGTTCAAGAATAGAAGATGTGGAAGAACTGTGTTACAAACGTCTCATTAAAATAAATAAATACAAACGTTAAAAACCAGTCATTGCTATGACTGTCTATGACCAGTTTCAACCAGTCCAGGCTGTGTTCGGCATTGTATGGAGAGGAGATTGCGGTTTGGTGAAATCTTTAGGCATATCCTTGTCCAGCTAAAAAGGTACACAATAACTTGTGCTCCTTTCTTCTAAGCATAACTGACAGTTCAGAGTATCAAGGCCACTCGGTGGAAAACAAGTAACTTGGAGTAGCATTGGAAATTAGCAGTTCAGCCTTGAAGCTTTCCAACAGTGAAAGCGAGTCACAAGGCCACTGAGGTGAATACTGGTTGCTGCCAACAGCGTACAGTACAACGCTATCAACCAAACACCTTGTTCCCTAGTAATCCAGTGGCAAAGGTCAAGGTAGCTAGTCATTAACTTCCGCAGTTTGTAGGCTACCGTTCATTCCAGTCATGAACAGTACTGTAGACTCACCGTGTAAGGCAATGTCTCATATGAAAGAAAGTCCAGCAGTGATCCCCCTCCCTCACACTCCTTTTTTCCAATCCTGTTGTGTCCAATATTGGTGGGTTCTTTCAATCCCTCCCTCCCCCTCCGTCCGTGCTGTAACTAGCCCCTGGGGGTGTGGTCAGTTTAGTGTGCCATGCTGGGAATCGGGGTCTCAGTGCCAGATGTCGGAGGTGGATCCCTTCCTGGTCATGGCTCTCAGTGGACTGCGAGATAGGGAGCTCCTCTTCTTCCAACGGACTGCAAACAGACAGAGAAGAGAGAGGGAGGGAGTTACAGGTTGGCTGGGCTTGGTTTTATCACATACAACTCTCAAGAGCAGACAGGTGCAATGTGGAAATACAGGTACAGACAAATTCATGTGTTAATGGGAGACTATCAATTCATCCCTTTGACAGTTTCCCATTGCTAGGCAACGCCCTTGACCCCCCCAAAAATGTGGTTTCTATTGATTTCAAAGGACTACTTCAGCGTGTCAGGCCTGTGTTCTCACCTCTTTCACAGCTGTCTGGTAGTATAGAGCTTTTGGGGGTAGTTGTGTTGCTGGACATAACCTCTCCCTCCTTCACCCTGACCTTTTCTGGGGTCAGAGTGCCGGTGCTTCCCGCTAACCCAACGTCACTGTCCCCCTGCCAGTCGCTCAGTGCCCTCTGGAAGGAGTGTGCCAGGCAGGCCGTCATGTCCCGTGCCCGCTCCGCCCGGCTACACCAAAACACCCGGCACTGCAGCTGTTGCCCGTGATGCTTACAGATGTACAGAAACACGTTGGGTCTGGTGGCGTCGGCCGCGCAGTAGGCGATGTCCTGGAGGTACGTCTTAGTGAGCTGGCGTCCTGTACTGAGCTCTTTGACTTCGACATAGCGTGGACGAACAACCAACGCGTGGTCTTTGCTCAGCTTCTTTCCCTTGGCGGCTCCATCGAGCAGCCGGGCTATGGCGTCCTGGGCCTGCTGTAGATCCAGGGAGAAGATTTTCTCAGTGCCCAGGTAGTGGACCTTGAAGAGCGGGTCGCCGTGGGAGAGGGACTCGGTGCGGTCACGGCGGAAGCGGCGGCGTAAAACGGACGGGGAGTTCTTGAGGGTCTCCATCAGGTGGAAGGTGTTGAGAGACATGGTGGATATACGTTTTGGGGGGGTTGGGGTTAGGCTTGGGGGTCGACGGGGCACAGGTGTCGTGGTCCTCAGTCCTTTTCCCAGGCTTGTTTCCCAGTTTCTCTTTGAATCGGGTACAGTTGGATTCAACGTCTTGATCTGCAATACAGAGAAAGAGGAACATAAGGGGTTAAAGTGTGGCATAGTTAAATACATTACCACATAAATCAGACATGAATTGCCAATGTTAACACCATAAGATAAGTTCTAATGTGGAATATGGACACAGCTCATATCTTCCAGACATTTTACTTAAAACATTTGTTTCAGGTGAACTATCCCTTTTAGAACATTATTATGCAGAGTGGAGACCGGAACTTGGACATGTGTCAGTAGTGAAACAGGACAGTTAGGACACAATGTACTGGGGGGGGGGGGGCAGCCCAGGATTAGGTGCAGCAATGACGCAGTCTGAGGCAATATTCATTTACTGCCAGTCACTAGATTCAGTACAGAGCCATCAAATATTTAACAGTTACTGTGCCTCGTCTTGAAGGAGAATACCTTCCCACTCACTCTCATACCCATATTAACAGACTCTGCAACCACAGCTGTTAAAACAGCTAAACAAGTTCCAGTCCAGTGAGGTGTCATTGTCCATCTTAACACCTGTCATTACCAAGTTATCATTATCATAGGCTTAACCCTTGCCTCTAGCGTATGATTTGTAGGCTTAGTAGAAGACATGACAACCATGCGGTGAACAACAAAGTATTTGACACTGTAGTCTTTTACATTACAAATCTAAAAAGTGACTTGAAATGTATTGCAAGTTCATGTGCGGTAAGAAGTGAAGTGGGTTGAATATATGGTATTGAATCGAATTGTCTCTGACTTAGAGTGCTGAAACTACATGGGAAAAGGTGACCTAAACAAATGACTGTCTAGGTTAAGGTTAAGCAACACCACCAGCTGGACATCACTCTCCCGCTGTCTTTTAAGAACGTCCCAAAAACACCACTCTCCTGTGTGAGCGCTACGTCTCAAGCCATTGTGTTGTACTTTCATTTGTCCCCCTCTCTCTTTTCTCAGACATTCTCTCAACATCCTACTGCCCCCCTCAGATGTTGCTTTGACCGAGAACCGCCGACTGTTCCGAGACGATGGCCATTGTTTGGTGAGCCCACTTCTCAGGAAACAGCTTTGCTTTCTACCCCTCCACCGCCCCGACACCACCCAAAATATTTATCCTCCTAAAAACAATGGCATGCTTTGGTGTGTGTGTGTCACATAAATCAGAGATCAACTGACCTAGACTTCTGGCTGGCTGTGCTAGGGACAGATCAGAAATACACACATATTAAGTGTTATCACACACTCATCCCACCCCAGGCTAAAGGTGAAGTAAACTTCCACTGTAAATATGTCCAGTTCTCTTGGCATGTTTACAAGCAGGTAGATAAAGGATACAGTGGAACACATGCAGTACCTCCCATCATAACGCTATGTTCAAAATGTGGTCAGACTGCATTTTTCTGCACAGTGCTTTTTAATAGGATCAAGGATGTCCATGAGTAAATAGAGTAATGTGTAAAATGTTATGTGATTCTTTATCTGAAGTAGGGTAATTTACTGTCCTAGTGGCAGACAGTCAGGTCAGTGCAGACTGGGGAATTTGGAGGGAATTGAGGACATATGGTTTTCCTTTCAGTGGAGCAGCTTTTTTTTTAGATGGCGCCTAGGATGAATTATGGGAGTCAGCTGGGCAATTGCAAGGTAACAGAGTGATGCTGAAACTCAGATTTGTTGTACTTAAAAATGTCAAACAAAAACCAAATGATTGCAAAGTTAATCAAACCATACAACTAAGCACAATGACTACTTTTAACAATGTCCATAGAATTTTACAAAATAATTTACTTGTAGAACAGTGCAGATGCAAAGTTTGGTAACAGAATTACGGTTTGTGCTGTTTTGTGGAAATTGATAAAAGTAGTCCTTCTGCATAGAGTTATATGGTTTGTTAAACTTTGCAATCATTGGTTTTTGTTTGACATACATTTTAAAAAGTGAAAAATCTGAGTCTCAGGATCACTCTTTTACCATGGAATTGCCCAGCAGTCCATTCAACATGCCTTGCGTCAAAGGTAAGGCAACCTGGGGTGTAATCATTAGACCCCCAATTTTTCTATTGGTCAAATGTAGGTAGGTCCCTCCGTTTCGTTCCCTTATCTTCCGTTTAAGAAACGTTCTGCAACCGAATCGGCGTAATGAATACACCCCAGATTAATCGATAAATGTATGTACTTTGGAAATGCCACTATAACAGATTAACAATGTCGAATAATATCAAATCATTTTAATTAATTCTGAAAAATCATAGTAACGGTCACATGAAATTGGTTTGTCAGAGTGAAAAGTATCGCATCTTACCTTGCTGCAGTTTCATGCAAACGATGTCCTGGCGCTTCAAAGAAGAGTAACATTACCGGTCTTCATAACTGACTGGATGCAAATGAACAGGTGTTCCTCTGCTTCAACAAATTTGTTTTCGCAATTATTCTAGCTATTGGAATAGCATTAATAAGATCAACCAAAACCCTCAATTTCTCTCAGCAGCCGGCATCACTGACGATATTATATTATAAATTCCAATAATACAGTTTGAAACATCAAAATCCTTCTGACCCGAAACTTCGTTCAACATTTCCTGCTCAAGATTAAAGATACATTCCAATAATATTGTTAATGGACTAAAACTAGCAAAGAACACTCGCCCTCTCTTCTCTTTGGCGTGTGCAATACTCATCCGCTGAATTTGAATGACTGTTGACGCCTCCTCGTGCTGCGCTTATGAACCTGAATAGCGTGGGCGCGCCTCCGGGCTACGAGCATTTGCGTCTGTGGGGTGTGTGCGTGTGAGTGAGTGAAAGGTGGCCAGGAGGGAGACGTTTGTATTGTGTGTGTGCGGGGGGGGGGGGTTAGTGGTTAGGTTTATGTTAGGATTATGGTTAGGGTTAGGTTAGGGAAAATTGGATTTTGAATGGAAATTAATTTTATGTCACCATGAGGATAGAAGAAGATAACTGTGTGTGACTTAGTGAAAGGTGCCCAAGAGAGAAAGAGAAAATACAAGGCCAGGACAAATAGTGCCTGGAGGCAACATTAGGGGTTAATATAGGGGGGATGCATTGACTTGATAAGGAGGATAAGGAAAGATAACACCTTTGTCACTGTGTGTTATAAATAAATATAAAGTCAATTGCTGCTAACATGAGTATAGACACATTCATGGTAACTTGACATAATTAGGCCATTAGCCAGTGGTGGAAAAAGTACCCAACTGCCATACTTGAGAAAAAGTAAAGATACCTTAATAGAAAATGACTCAAGTAAAAGTGAAAGTCACCCAGTAAAATACTTCTTGAGTAAAAGTCTAAAAGTATTTGATTTTCAAATATACTTAAGTATCAAAAGTAAATGTAATTTAAAAAATATACTTAAGTATCAAAACTAAAAGTATACATTATTTCAAATTCCTTATATTAGGCAAACCAGACGGCACGATTGTATTGTTTTTTTATTTTACGGATAGTCAGGGGCACACTCCAACACTCAGACATAATTTACAAATGAAGCATTTGTGTTTAGTGAATCCGCCAGATCAAAAGCAGTACGGATCACCAGGGATATTCTCTTGATAAGTGTGTGAATTCGACCATATTCCTGTCCTGTTAAGCATTCAAATGTAATGAGTATTTTTGGGTGTCAGGGAAAATGTTGGAGTAAAAAGTACATTATTTTCTTTAGGAATGTAGTGAAGTAAAAGTAAAAGTTGTCAAAATATAAATAGTAAAGTAAAGTACAGATCCCCAAAAAACGACTTAAGTAGTACTTTAAAGTACTCAAAGCTGTAAGTGGTCTTGGGTATGATTTTCTCCCATTCTTCCTTGCAGATTTTCTCAAGCTCTGTTAAGTTAGATGGGGAGTGGCAGTGAACAGTAATCTTCAGGTCTTTCCACAGATTTTCAATTGGATTCAAGTCTGGGCTTTGATTGGGCCACTCAAGGACTTTCACATTTTTGTTCTGGAGCCTTTCCAGCGTTGCTTTGACTGTATGCTTGGGGTCATTGTCCTGTTGGAACTTAAATCTTTGCCCCAGTCTAAGGTCGTTTGCACTCTGAAACCTGTTTTTGGCTCCATTCATTGTTCCCTCTATCCTTACCAGTCTCCTAGTCCCTGCCACTGAAAAACATCCCCATACCATGATGCTGCCACCACCATGCTTCACGGTAGGGATGGTGTTCGACAGGTGATGAGCTGTGCCTGGGTTTCTCCAGACACAGCGCTTTGAATTCAGGCCAACGAGTTCAACTTTTGTCTCATCAGACCACAGAATATTTTGCCTTATGCTCCCAGAGTCTTTTACGTGCCTTTTTGCAAACTCCAGACGTGCTGTCATGCCTTTTTCTCAGGAGTGGCTTCCGTCTGGCCACTCTCCCATAAATCCCAGATTGGTGAAGTGCTGTAGAAACGGTTGTCCTTCTGGCAGGTTCTCCCATCTCAGCCAAGGAACTGTAGTTCTGTCAGAGTGGTCATTGGGTTCTTGGTCACCTCCCTGACCAAGGTCCTTCTTGCCAGGCTGCTCAGTTTGGTCGAACGGCCAGCTCAAGGCAGATTCTGGGTAGTTCCATATGACCACTCTGACAGATGATAATGGAGACCACTGTGCTCTTGCAAACTTTCAACATTCTATAAATTGTTTTTTACCCTTCCCCAGATATATGCCTTTTCCAGGGCCGGTCCTGGCCGTTCTGAATAGTCCCAGTAAGCAAAATTATGATGAAAAGACATCTAAAATACTTATTTTTCCTGATGTTGAAGTTAGGTTCAATTTAGGTTCTGAATGAAAGTTGAAAATATGTCCTTTATAGACATCTATGTTTGGGCCAAATCAAGGCTGGTCCTGACCGGACAAAATCTGAACCAAACATAGACGTCTATGATCGGTTCAGATTTGGTCCGTACTGTGGACGTGGAAAATAAGACGTCCAAAAGGTGTCAGCGTCAGTCCGTGCTTACTGAGTTATAGCCTACAGCGGGGATGGGCAACTCCAGTCCTCGGGGGCCGGCGCAGTGTTACACTTTTAACCCATCCCTAGTCAACACAGCTGATTAAACTAATTGCATTCTAAACTGAAGATCATGATTAGTTGATTATTGGAGTCAGATGTGTTAGCTGGGGCTGGGGCAAAAGTGTGACACCAATCAGGCCCCAAAGGACTGGAGTTGCTCATCCCTGGCCTACAGTGTTGCCTGAAATTACATTTTAGGAATGACCATCCATGTGGTAGGCCTACAGTTTGTAAAACAAAACAAAAAAGACCAAAAAAATACGTCCAAAAGATGTCAGCTTCAGTCCGTGCTTACTATGGTGTATCTTACCATGTTGTCCCATAATGGAATTTTATGAATGCCCATCCATGTGGTAGGCCCACCATATGTAAAACAGGCCGTTGCATTGGCTTTATTAGTCCTGATTCCTGTGACTAATCAATTTGGCTATTTAAGCTCTGAATATCAGCTACCCAACTTTATCAGGAGGAGTTATCCTGAGATTATTTCCAATGTACTTACACAGCGGGAAATGCAGAAGAAGCATTTTCCTTTTCGCTATGATCAGCTCATAAAACATTTACGGATACAAACTTGAAACCACTGATCATGACAATTTAGCCCACGGGATGAAACTCCTGGACAGCAGTTGTGAGTAGCCTGATTGTCCATTCCATATTGTCCATTTTACTTTGACCTGTCCTGTTTTTAGGATATGTTGTTTTTTAACATGTCAGCACATTTTTTTATTTGATTGGGCGCCATTTAGGTTAGGATATTTGATCGGAGAAACCTGCATAATAAATCAAGTTTCCGTCTCATTACATTGTCATACATTTTATCTCCAGCCGGTAGGCTACAGAAAAGGCCACATATTATTTCTACCATATGCTATATCTGCTATATGATTTATGTTATTTTTTTTTTTTTTGACGGAATGTTGGTGGAGTGCCGCAGCAATGCGTCTCTCCAACAGCACCCTGGAGAGGTGCGCTGGGAATGGACAAGATAAATATTTTGCGTCCCTGCCTTTGGTGGGCATTGCTTATCATAGATCGGCATCAGTGCTCACCTAATAAGCCTATATGTCACTGGTTGAGATGAATTGTCATTGTTTTGGGGCAGAATTATGAGGTTTTATGTGTTGTTGGATGTGCGTCTTGGTCAGTTTAGCTCAGAAAATGCTGCCATAGGCGACCGCAAAATCCTGCCTAATGAGCGGGCCGGCCTTGGCCTCATCACAATTCTATTTCGGAGATCTACAGACAGTACCTTGGACCTCATGGTATAGTTTCTGCTCTGACATGCGCTGTGTCAAATGTGGGACCTTATATAGACAGGTGTGCTTCTTTCTAAATCAAGTCCAAACAATTGAATTGACCACAGGTTGACTCCAGTCAAGTTGTAGTGATATCTCAAGGATAATCAAAGGAAATTGGATGCACCTGAGCTTAATTTGGAGTCTCATAGTAAAGGGGGGTGAATACTTATGTAAATGAGATATTGCTGTATTTCATTTCTTTTATAAATTAGCATACATTTCAAAAAACATGTTTTCACTTTGTCATGATGGGGTATTTGTGTGTAGATGTGGTGAGAAAACAAATATTTTAATCCAGTTTTGTAATTCAGGCTGGTCACACAATAATAAATGTGGAATACAGTCGAGGGGTTATTAATACTTTCTGAAGGCACTGGTAAGCAACTGCAGTACCGGGTCCTATAGTCATAAAAACATCTGAAAACCACTACTGTTCATCAGTACATTGCGTCACTCATAGCTGGTGTAGTGCTATAATTTTTATGTGCGGGAACTCAAAAAAAGTACATTATGCCATAATTTCTCAATCAAAGTTTGTACCGACAGATGTAGCCTATTGAATATCATTATATTATAGGCCTATGCATAAAAAGCATCCTCCAATTGCAACGTCTGCCTATCCCCACACATATTGTCTCTAGCACTCACATTTTCATCACTGTCAATCGTGAATGATAATTCACGTTTTACCAGTGAAATGTCCATACTGCATCTGCACTCCAATCATTTGATCTCAATCAGTTTCATGGGAATATGCATTTAGATATTCTTGAATTACTGTTTTGTGAGCTAATTAGAGCAGATGGTGTTAACAAACTAGCCTTTCTTGTATTTTGCTTCAATCAAAGCATATATCCTGCCTAGTGGCGCGCACAGTTGAGTTTTGGACGCATGAGGAAAAAAATGCAACTATTCTGCTTCAGCTAACCATCCTAAAATCTCACTAGAAATGAGGTGTTTTTGGTGTAACAGTAACGTTATATGCCTACTATGCTATGCTATTAGGCCGGTATTCAGTTCTGTTTTGCAAAATACTAATTCATCATTATGTGATCTTGCGGGACATTGATTAAGCTTTAGACATTTTTTTCCAGTAATTGTTTTACCAGCTCTGTGTATTCTCAAATTGAAAAAATTGAGGGAGCCTCGCCCTCTGGCAGCACTACACCCCTGCTCATAGCCTCTTGCTAATGAGGGTCGTTAACCCTAGTTTCTCTGTTCTTTTTCATCTGTTTATGTTGGGGGCATTCGAACTGAGCTAAAGGAAAACACTAAACGGTTCCGTGTGTGTGTGTGTTTCAGAGCGGAACCGTGTGCCCCTGTCTAATTTGGGTT